GCATTACACAGCGTGCAAAGTTGGAAATATAACACTCCCTCGCTCTTCCTTCACGCTTCCAAAACACGCACTCAACGGTTAAATGTGCACAAGGGCGTCGCACAGGGTTACAGCAAGATCATCGTCAAGCCGCGCACTTCCATAAGTCGTGTTCTTGCTCACTCGTGCTCCGAGAATAAAAATAAAAACAGTAATCATCTGTTTACCCCAAAGAAGCGTGCACATTTAAACACGTGATTGCAGTATATATGCCGTAAACTTACCCGAGTATCTTTCCCATCTGATCGTTGGTGGCGGTGATCCTGCAGCACGGCAGTAAAGATCGGCCTGACTTTCGAAAGCCATCTTCTGATCTCCGACTGTCTCGAGCCACTTCGGAGGCGCTGTAACACCAAAGCACGGCAGCTGCATGCAGTTTTTTTTTACAAGTAGCCACAAAGTGCTTATGGGGAGCTTAGCAGGATTCAAGCTCTTTGCATGTCATTTGCTTTGTAAATATAATCAAACTATCACGTACGTGGGACTAAATACTCGGTTACGCGCACAATGTCCGGGGTTTTGTTTCGGCGTTTCTTGATAAGCACTTACCCTCGACATCAAGAAACGTCGTGTACGAGTCGAGTCCAGCGCGGTTCTTGACCACGCAGGTGTAGTTTCCGCCGCTGTTCACCTCCACAGGTTCGAACAAAAGCATCGAGTACCCCTGATCATTCTTGAATCGGACGTTGCTAGTCTCCACCAGCTCTTTGTTGTCCTTCATCCAGATGAATTTCATTGGCGCAGTCCCGGATGCGACCATGCACGTCACCGACGTTTTTTCGCCCGTCCTCCATCGTTTCAAGAAGGAGAACGGATTGACTCTCGGTGGTTCTGCGTTGCAAGACGGGTACGGCATGAGCGCTTCGCCGCGCTTTTGCGGTCACTTCGCTTCGGTCGTGGTCGCTGAACAACATAGCACGAAAACAATAGACGTTTTGTGTACTTACCGATAGAAGAAGCGTCTCGTACTAGATGCAAAACTAGAGCAAGCATGCAGAGTTGTGCCTGATCCATTTTTTTTTGCCCCACCTCGACTATATGAGTGAATTTCTGGGTTCTTCGTATAGGTTTGTATCCGAAGCCCCTTTGCCTCAGCGAGGTCTACCGGCTTTGTGGGTGTTATGGTGGTTTTCGAAGCTTGGCCGTATAGCTGCCTTAATTTCGTCGAAGTGGACATAGGGCGCCACATATCGTCAATGTGTTGAAGCTTTCCGTTGCTCACACTTCCGTGAGAGTGTTTTCCAAGCGTATAGAGAAAACAAAAGTTTTTTTAGGGGACGTTATATTTGTGAAAGTGCGTGATTACTAAAATTTTTTTTAAACGTGATCCGACTGCGTGAAGCGGCAACCAGGAAGAGGATGTTGCAAATAGATCGCAAAGTTCTGTAAAAGGTCTACCGACTGCATTTTAACGTAATCAAACATTCGAACGTACTGTCGGTTTCTCGGTTGTTGGCTTTATGTGCAGATTGTAGTTTGAACTTGAGATTCGATATGGCTGTAAACGTGTGCTACCCCAGGCATTTCAGAAGCAGGCCCGTAGCAGGATAGGGGGGCTACCTAGGGACCCCCGCTCCCCCCCCCCCCACCACGAAATTTGGATGGAGGGGAGTGTTTTACCACAGACAAGTGATAAAAAAGGTATTCTTCAAGGTTTTCTACAAGCTACAAGCCTCCCCCCTTCCCCCAATCCCGAAGGAAATTTCTGGCTACGGGCCTGTTTAGAAGTATGCTCGTTGGACGGTACACATCGAAAGGTTTAAGCTACCTTATAGATCGATAATGCGATGCAGCTTGTGTTTGTCGTTCGTAGGTTCAATAAATCAAAAGCGTTGCGTTTGATTGATTCCTTATAACTGGGGAGTCATGAGTCGACCATGCAGGAACACCTACGGAAACAGGTGCCCATGCGAGTTTGACTGTAGTTTCGATTCCGTTCATCAAATAAATCTCACCTGTGTTGTTTCAGTAGCCTTGAGTGTATTCTAAATGTTACAAGTTTAAAGCACGCATGGCTGCTTGCTCTAAGTTGTCCCTTTTTCTATCTTTTATCCATACTTGGCCAGGAATAAATTTATGCCACTTCATATTGTAGTGCGACATAACTTAAGCACGCCGGGTCGCTGTACTGGACGGTTACTTGCAGGTGTAAGTTTGTCGCATGTGCGCAATTTGCCCTCTCGCTTTGTCTTTTCAGTGACATATTTCATCTCTTAAGCACTCTAGCTTAGAAAATTTCGAAAGCGTGTGATTTTTTATGGCACTGACCCTGTACGAACACACTCACAGTGCTTATTAGAACTAGCTTGCTACGGCTTGTGTCATAGTCGGAACGTCTGTGCGATCGCGTCATTTCTCTGGTCTCTCGTCCCTGAAGTTTGCGCTATATTGCAGTTCAAGAATTGTAACCCACGTGTTTGTATCCAAAACTTTACGTGTAAAGCTTACAACGATGTTATGTCATTTGCCTTCCGCCCTCCCATATTGCTGTTCACTGTAAAAGGACGTTACCATGAAAAAATGAAATGTTCCTTGTGTGCTTTGTTCATTCAAAGTATCATGTTTACTTGAACAGCAGGCTTTCGAATTCCGTCCTGCACCAGTATAACACAACTTTACTCTGTGTTTGCCCGGAATTCCAGAGTTATCTAATCTTTTCTCGCCAAGGGCAAATTTTTGTGAACTTTTGAATGGAAGGGTTCAGAGGCCTCGGCGCAGACAGAGCGCCCGTGCTAGACAAAGCCAACCCAATATACCGTCTCGTTTTATAAAATTTGAATTTATATTCCATTATAACGCACAGTCTTTGTGTAGCATACGTTGCGAAACGAGCAGTGAAATCTAGTTCGCGATTATAAGCCGCATGCTGCGCACTCATATGCAGCACCATAACTTGGCTTGTTCTCTTGGAAACGTCACTTAGCTTTCAATATTTATACTGTGATGCAGTTTGTTAAGTGCGCTTGTCGTCATCGGTACAAAATCAGTTGTTTCGAGTTAATTTTAAGAAGACCAGACGTACGAGAACTGCTCGACCTGACCCCTACGTTTATGCCTCGGTAACGCTCTCTGGGCCAGTCCTTGTCGTTGTGCTGTAGGATATTGATCTGGCAGCGGCCATCTTTGTTGTGCGTGCTCTGCTCCTGCAGGGGCCAAGCGTCGCTCACACTTCGTGTGACTCTAGCATGTTGAGGGGTGTTCATCGATTTTACTTCATTTGCGCAGCGCCCTCTGCTCTTGCTGTGGAGTGGCGCTGCAATTACTTTCACGGGAAAACACATCAATTCCATACGTAGGGTTCCGTTATTCGTCTTGAACAAGTTTATTTCCTAATTTATCATCGTTACACACACTGCATGGCAGTCGAGATCGTTGAGGTCTGATCAGCTTTCACTGCGGCGAAATTGGGCGCGAAGTTCGAATTCATTGCTGATAATCGAAGAAAACTCGCGCTCCAAAATTATGACGTGGGCTCGTGCGTATAGTGCTTCGAAAACTGCAGGCTAACTTCAAGCTTGAAATTATTCGAGCAATCAATTTTACAATTGTTCGTAGTCTGTGTTCCGATGATAGGCCGCGGGCTGCCCTGCTTTGGGCATTGATTTGGGTGTGGCCGCAACGGCACTGACGACAGCTCCGCCAAGCGTTACGTGCATAGTTACCTGTTTTTCCTCTACAGCGGCGCTGCTGTCGAAGCGGGAATTTAGAGACGACTTTCAACGAGGATCAAGTTCACGGAACACTTGTTGCTGGGCCAGTCTGGTCATACATTCCTGCTGGAGATAAAAATTTTCACCGCTTACAGCAAATAGACAGACTGAAGGGGAGGTGGAGAGGGGGAGGGCGGAGGCAGTAGAACGTGAAACTTCCAGCACTACTTTGGGTGCCTTCTTCCTTTTCCTCATGAACCACTAACAACAACAACACTACTTTTGCCCTCTCCCCGTACCCTTAGCGATTTGCGCTCAGTGATAACGGCGTGGGCAGGGCGAAAGTGTTCAACACCTCCCCCCACCCCCGAACCCCGATTTTTAAATGTTTTGCATCAGTATATATACACGCACACATGGAAACGCTCGCACGGACATACATAAAGTGTTGTGGAACCTCCTCCTCGAAAAAAAAAAATTCTGACTACTCTGTGGCCATATCTTTCATCGTCCGTTAGGCAACGATCGTACATAGTGTGTCTCCGCTAATGTCACCAAATATGTTGCTTGCTTAAAAAAAAAAAAAGATATGTGGAATCTATATATGTGGACACCGTATATGTGGAATAATCGTATTTCTTGCGCGTTTTAACATGTATTTTCTCTACGCTAGGCTAAACTTAGCTTGCACACTTCCGGTTTAGGGAATACGCACTCTGCCTTTTAGCAGTAAATCACTGACACGGCATTTACAGCGCACGATTTTCAGGACACGTGTTTTTTCGTGCGTTTTAATGCATGGTGCGAGAGGGTTCACCTCCTACATACTTCTTTTCAGAAGGCTGAAGTGCTGCAGTAACGCTTCTCTCGTTACACAGTGTGTTTCCTTTTGTGAAGTTCACCTTAAGTTGCAACCATACAGTGGTTCCGTGGATGCCAATTGAAATTTAGCTTCGCGCTAACTTACCTACCTTGAGCGACTCCGTTAGCTATTATGTTTTTACAGGGTTGTGCATTGACGTTTGAGTGGTGGCTTCGGGTTACGTCATTTGCTTTCTGTGTATTTTTCTTAGCGATTCAATTGCACTTCCGAGACTGTCTTTTTTTTCTTTTTTTTAAATTACATTGATACACGCGTTACGGTAGACGCACGTGACGTACGAAATACCTATGTGCGTACCAATATTTACAGTCGCAGCCTTACCTTTCAGTCTCCCGAGTCTTGGTTTACCTTGATTTCTCGAAGAAAGGTAGAGTTGACGACATTCTGAAAATCTGGCATGACTTCTCCGGAAAGAAAGCAAAACAATGTTTGGTGATTTGAAGGACAACCGTAACGGCGGTCTTTTCTTTATTTTTTAGTTATTTACAAATATGACAAGGCATGAAATGCCGTTTTACGAGAAGAAGAAGGGATCATTCAGGACTCTGGCGTTGTTGATTCAGCCACAAGACAAGAAACAGTGTGACAACAGCTGTGTTCGATTTTTATCTTTTTTTCACGTCACGCACACACAGACGATATATGAAACAGCATTGCTATGTATGCTTCCGCACACGAAGAAATGTGGAAAGAAATATACACTGTACAAGACGCTCGTAGCTGCTCGTCACCACTGTGGAACACTTCGCAAAAGTCAATCTGTGGTTTGGTTTGTAGTGTATGCCCAGATGTTTTATGTTATCATTAAGCATAATGTGCAATGAGATATTTTCATTTCATTGGAGCACTAGATTGCTGAGTGTCTGCTGAAAAATATCTGTGCTTTCGCATGTAAAGTTTAATGTGCCGTTATTGGGTGCCTGGTGCAAATGATTATATCAAATAAAGATTAGTTTTTAGTAGCCCACAGCCGCGCTATACTTGCCAACAATGTGCAGGGAAACAAACCGCATGGGTTGGCACGCGTAATAAGCAAACTAATGCTTAAACAACTCTCATTAGATGGTTAGATGACGCGGGCGATCTTCCATCACCATTGTGTGCCTGTAGCTTTGCGTTGAATTTGCATGTGTGTGTGTGTTGCTGTAGTTCTGTGGAAAAGTGGTGGAACAGCTTTGCGGAAGTCTGCTGGAGGAGGGGAAAAACGTAAAAGGAATAAAATATTCAAGCTCGGGTGTCAAAATGAACTAAACATCTGAAACTTCAACGAGAACAAAATGATACCTCTCCAAAAGTTCATAGTTTGATCATAACTGAAAATTATCATGTCAAAGTAAATGGCGGTGTACATCTTTAAAAGCATTACAGCCGTGAAAAAATTGCATACAGAGTCGCACCTAAAGATAGTTCACGCAGGTCATTCAAGTCATAAGAAAAATGGCATAATCATGGTGTGTATGCACATGGGGACACAAATAACCACACATAATACAGCCCAGCCACGTATCACGAGAGGTCACACGAAATACAGTCACCCAGAGACCGAATATGTTGAAAATTGCGCTGCACATGCCACCTATATAGTCACATAACATTACTGAAATTGAAAATAAAGGCAGGGAATTGCGTTGTTGTTTTTCGGTGATTTTGCTTCGCATGTTTGAGGTTGTCTCGCAGTGTTGTCAGCAGCACAATTGATGAAAGTAATTCTTACATTCCCTAAAAAGGATGCACGTTATCTAAGCATTCATTGCGACGAAGTGACGGAACATCGTATGACACGCACTCCAAAAACTTGAAACCTAGTATTTACAACAAACAACTGCGTGAAAAAAAGGTGCACAATTTTTTTTTTCAACACTGCATGCGGCTAGAGTGTGGGAGATAACAATAATGTTTGTTGTGACCTCGTTTAAGTAATTGTCTAAGTAGGAGGACCCGCGGCGCACCTACTAGTATGAGCACTGTCGTGAACTAGACACCTCACTCGATAAAAAAATGGTTTACGTACAAAAAAAAAAAAAGCTTCTGTACGATAAAGAAACGTCTTACGATCAACTGAAAACTTCCGTGCAGCAGCTCTGACCGTGTCGCCGGATGTTTTGGTGCAGTGCATCGACCCTGCATGCATGCGCAAAGGTGTTCTTAATTACGCTCTCTGAATGACTTCTTGTCTTGTTTCGAACATAATTTTGAAATTCGGCTTTCCCGCATAACGCGACGATCGAAGCGCATTGCTAAATTTGCTTACCCTGTTTGAGTGAATTGCCGGAATGAGGAAGGACTGTAAATGTTCTTCAGAAGGACAAGAAGTTTCTCCGAGAACGAATTTGGCCTCTGGACAGCTTGGCCTCACTTTCGCGGTCTTTATTTCGGCTGCAAAAGGGTGCCGAAACTCATTCCGCGGAGCAAGGGAGCAATATAGTTTGAAAGGAGGGGTTATAGCAGAGGTTTCCATCCAAAGGGTATAAAGCCGACGGGCCAGGCCGAACAAAGTTTTTCCACGACTGTATACACTCCAACGTTACAGCACAGTTTGTATGGCACCACACGCGCGAGACTCTGCAGGTCTCACCCTGTAACGATTACCTTATTACTATAGTATACGAATTGTCCTACCACGCATCACCTTACACCTGCTTACACACGTTTGGCAAATCACGATTACCCTATATAGATTAAACCTTACGGCGTCGCCTCTTTTTCGGTTGTCGTACCGCTGCGTAACGTCTGGCCGCTACTAACGTTGACGTTAGGCGCCGCGCCCTCGCGGCTGGTACCATCCGGCACATTTTGGCATTTGGATGAAGAGTCATCCGCCCCGCGGGCCGCTGGTTCTTCCTTCGTGTATTTTTCATTTCGAGTTGTGTGCCGACGGCGACGTAACGAAGACAAAGACGTTATATATGGTACGACGTGAGATACTTCAAAGGACCCCTAAACCATACCGAGCTAAAGACGAGGTAGGGGTTTCTTTTTATGTCTTCACTAACATCCCGCGATTCGCATGATCATGCGAGAACTCGTATGACTCACACGTATTTGCAAGAGAATATCGTATACGAGGCGTACGTGTAATATGAGAACCTTCAATAGTGTCGCCACCTATTTGTTTATGAAAGACGGTGTTAAACATTGAGTCTTTCAGCATTTTACGGTTTTTTGTTTACACTCTGGTATCTTCGCTTGCTCAGGCGAAAGCGCACAAAACGAAGTGAAAGGAGTCTATAGATGTCATCATAGACAAGTCAGAACGAGCGTGCGACTGCATTGAAGAGCAGGGTACGAGACAGTCCACAAATGACATCCCTCGTAAGGACCAATAGACAGCCTGCACTTCATGACATCATTTGAACAGAGTGCTGGCGTCACGAATTGGGCCGAAAAGACGGGAAACGCCTGTGGACAACAACGCCCTGTTTTTTTCTTTAATATATTCCGAGGTTGTTTAGGGGCCCTTCAACGAGGGCGAAAGAATCGTGGTACGCGTGGGTCAATGTGTATTAAAAACAAAATCATGTCGGGAGCAACCGTCAAACGTCACGCTCGTCGCGCTGGCTCGTAGTGATGACCGCAGGGGGACACTATGGACATCAAGTAACGCAAACGCTAACGTGCGCGCAGAAATAAACGCTCGACGTAAATGTGCGTGGAAAACGAAGAATGCAATGTATGCGGCAATAAATCATAAATACATATGTACAAGGCGGAGAATTACGATTTCGTGCGAACTCCTAGCTACCATCTGTCATACGCATATCCTCACGCACCATCCAGAACAGCCTTGAGCATAACCGGAGCACGACGTTCAAAATAATCGTTAGTAATATAGGACGAAATGTAATGGGACCTTCAAGTGTTTTGCAAGCGCTGTCTGCACGAACGTGCGCAGCTTCAAATGATTATGTCGACTGATTGTGCTGCCACAATATTGACCGCCTCTGCGATGCCGCCGATACGTGTATCTCGCCTGCTTCCTCACGATGGATTCCGTTTTCAGCATCCTGAAGATGCATTTCTAGATGCACCACTTTCTACGATAGCGTAAATGTGTTTTTATTGGTGGGGCGAACAAATCGGCTGAGACGAAAGCAGGCGTGTGCGCCTCCACAAATAACAAACGTTATTTTCACCGTTCTGTTGACGAGTACGTTGAAAAGTTTTCATGAGACGTCTCATTGACCGTTACGGGATGCAATAGTTCTAATGTAGCGATCGATCGACCGGAAATACGGGCACTGCTGTATTGACAGTGCTTTGTCCCTCGTGGATAATCAAACTCAAATATAAGCATTGGCCTCTACTTGGACGTTATATTTTCGTGAACCCAGCCACCACTGAGGATAGAACACATGCAGTCGATGATGTTACCGCTTCATGTGTGTGTTACGATCGCGCGGCATCCCTAAGTCCCTTAACTTCGAGCAGAATCACAGGGTATGCAAATTTCAACAAAATGAAGAAGCCTCTTTTAGGAGTGCCAATGGACGAAGAAAAACGCAGATGATTGACACCATAAAACGTCTTATAAACGCCACTTGAGTTTCATCCATTGCTAAGAACCGCGTTGCAGTTACAGGAAGCCAGCTCCGTAGTTGTAGCGTTCACACACATATTCAACATGGGCAGACTAGCAAACTGGTCGTAGTCTATTCAAATTTCTGTCTTTCCTGTATTCCCTCTCCTTCTCATACACATGTATTCGTGTTGCGGCATTGTTGCAAGTCATGGTTTTATGCTGTCTCAACGGGTTCTCTAACGTCGTACATCACTAGCTCGTTGAGACATGTTAGCGCTGAGGAATTCGCAAGCTGCCAACTAACCCATCGGCAGGCCAGCATGAGAATGCTGTGACTAGTTTGTCGAGGAGCCAGCAACTCGCGAGCTTTCCACGTATACGCAAAGCGCGATATTCATAGCACATTTAGCTCACATAACAGGGCAGCTGAGAGGAGCACTGCAACGCCACCCGCCAGGCACGCTCGTTGTTGAGCGTAAACTCGCGGACGCCGAGGATCGGGCAAACAGTGGGGTCCGGATGTGTGCTCTGTGGTTTCCGTTTTTGTTGCGGATGTGGTGAGACGTGAGAGACGCGAAGTGCGACGACGACGACGACGACGATGGTAGTCCGAGGACGCCCGATGCCCGTGTCCACCTCCGCGGTGGAATCCGTGTGCGTAAAATTCAACGCGGCGTGGCATCACTGGGCGCTCTCGTACATGTGGTCCTTCTTGATGGACATGGAGGCCTTGGCGCCGATGGGAAGCGTTGGCAGCTCCCGGTTCTGCGAGGACGCAAGGAACGGTGTCTTTAGACGAAAATGGACCGTCGGTGATAACAAGTTTGATGCAAAAGTCGTCACTTGATGGCGTCGGCGTGACGTCCCGGATCACCGAAATTTGTGACGTCACGGCCCAAATTCGACCAAACGATGATGTCGTGTGGTGACGTCACCATGACTTCGCATAACGTGCCGTCATATGACGCCGTCATCGCATGACATCGTCGCTTCGTGCTCGGTACCAACTAGCCAAACTTTCTGCTTTAACAGTCTCGTCCCCGTCTCTCTTAAAGCTAGTAAATATCCATTACATCTCTTTGTTGAGGGCCGGCAGATCACGGAGGCAAAGCAAAATTAGGTGAGGCGCAGAATGCTTGCGATGCCTCCGCGCCTGGAGGCAGTGATAAATCACGCCAGGTTCAGGAAGCTTTCAGAGTTGTGCGAGGGAGTTTCGACACATGGACTGAGTAGAAAAACAAGGCCTTCGCCTTTCAATCGGCTTAGGCAAATTTATAAGGGACCCTTTGAGTTATTGCTGCCAACTCTTTTAATGATAATGATAATTTCCGAGGTTTCACGTGCCAAAACGCCAATATGAATATATGAAGCGCGCCGTAGTCGAGGACACCGGAAGTTTTCGACCATATGGTGTCCTTTCACGAGCTCTGACCACAGTGGTCAGATAATACCGTGCTAACAAGCAAATACTCATATAAAAAGAAGCTCCCCCCCCCCCTAAAAGTGGAGATTTGCTGAATTTTTTTTTTCATTATTGAAAATTTTTAAATTATGGTAAGGAATGCCACTCATATATAAAGCATAGCTGAAAAAAATGTCACTTTAGTGTATTTTGTACAGGAAATATGGCGACTAAGGCGCCGGCATCATACAGTACACCGGGCTCTAGCGTTTCTTTCCATCGTAATGCGATCGCCATGGCCGGAATCGAACGGGTGACGTCCGCGTCAGCAGCCGCCGTAAGCACTACGCTAGACTGCCAACTCGGCTTGCTGCAGCGGAGACCGAAGCAAGTCGTTACTCCGGACAGCGCCTCCTCTATAGCGCCTCCTCTATGTTCAGGACGTATGCTCGTGCATTATTCTTTGAAGCAGTAACAACAACACTCTGCAATAAGGCATCTGGTAAAAACCTTTCACTAAACTGTCTGTTCCACTAAAAGGCACCCGAATTTTTAACAGCCTCTTGCATCTTAATTGGTGAATGTACTCGTGCGTTGACCGCAATTGCGTCATAGTGGAGCGTTCATTTCCGTCATTGCGGAGCTTTTGATGAAGTCATCTAGTAGATGCTATCATCAAACGGTCGTGGTCTCCTTAACCGGTATTATTGGAACGCACTGCCACTATAGGCTCCATTCAAGGATGCCATTCTTTGCTGCTTACCGCCGTAAGACAACATCGGTGAAAGTGCTGGTTAATACGGTCATATTTCGCATGTCGTGATACTATGTTTACAGAACTCCTCATCGTTGTAAAAATTTGCCCCGAAGTTTTTAGCAATGGTCCAAGGTTTCTTTTTTTTTTTTTTACTGAGGCTGCCTCTGCAATGAGTTTATCTGCCTTCGCATGTACAAATGGCTATTAAACAATGTTTTTTGTGCATTTACATGTACATCGCGCCTATTCGGATGTAGGGGCCTCAATAAAGATGTTCAAGCGAAAGCAAGTTGTACTTGTTCCAAGAACAGCCCACGTAACTTACGATAATAGCACGCTGTGTTTCGTGCTATATACCTGTGCGAGGAACGTCTTCATCTCCTGGTTGACGTTGTGCCTGGCCATCTTGGCCTCGAGCTCCTCGGTCATGGGCAGCGTGGCACTGGGCGCCGGGTACAGCGCGCACGGGTGGTCGGCCGGCAGCGGCGGCGGCTGCACCTCCACGTAGCGCTGCGACAGGCCCGTGTACTCGCCTGCCGCCTGCTGGGCCTTCTCGGCGTGACGGGCGCTCGTCGACGTCACTGCGTGAAGCGCGCGCTATCTAAATCACCCCCGCGTCCACAAGCAAAGAGGCTTCGTTTGAGAAGGCCGCGTTTAAGTCCGAACGAGTTTTGCGACGTTCAGGTGTAAGAATAATTCTTCCTCTAGAATTGTGGCGGTTTGGGCTAATAGGTATGACGTGACGGTAGATATAGCGCGAGAACAGAACGTCTCCTTTTTGTCTCTTTGTCGTCGTTCTCTTCTCGCGCTATATCTACCGTCTTCCTCCAGACTGAAAGGTCTCAGTGACACCGAGTTCTATATACCAGAGTTCGCTGATCTGCTTCTCTGTAAGGCAGAAGAGACAGGCAGCGAAACTCAACACCGCTCCTACTTCTTTTTGCTGTCGGTTCGCTGAGTTCACAGGTGAGTCGGGATAAATAGTTGCTCTGTGGATTTTTGTGGTCTCGAGTAGTTTACGCTTTGAAGCAACCCAGTAACACTAGAGTTACTATCTACGCTCCCTTTGTAGTGCCCATACTGTATACTGCACGTTGTATTTATATATAGAGAGATACGTTTATTATGAGAGATAAGCTGAAAGGTCGGCCTGAATTAATTATCCCACCTGCTACTAACCGTTAGGTAAGAGAAAGGGATGGTAAATAAAGTATAGAAAAGGTGTTGATGATGATGAAGATGAAGGCGATGATGGACCGAAACCCCCCCTTAGAGAGCCTATATACTGCATGCCGTATGTGGCTCTTAAAGGAGCCATATAGGGCAACTTTAAATAACGCTAGAGTACAAAGTCGCGTAGTTATCGCGGCTTGAATGGACGAAGGTATCTTCTCACTCTGCGGATGTCCGTCGAGGCCGGCGGCGAACTGCTTGCTCCGCCTCTCCATGGTGCCCGGTGGCGGCTGGAGAGGCGGCTGCGGAGGTCGGCGTTTGATGCGCTGCAGGCACACGCACGTCACGATCACCACCAGCACGATGGTCACCAAGCTGGCCAGCACGGGGATCATGATGAACAGGTTCAGGTAGAGCGGGGTGCTGGCGTCTCCGAAGATCGGCGACTGCATCACGCCTCCTACGCGTGCGTATGAAATGGAATGAGCGATGACATCGTGCGAGAGCCTGCTGACAGCGCATCAATGCGATGATTCACGAATGAACCTTGGCGGAGTGCGACTAAGTTAAAAAAGTGGCTGTCACAGTGATGTCGCGTGCTACGCGAGCGTTAACGACGTGCGACTGACTGCGTGTTTGTGTGTGCTGCGTTATGTGCCAACACCCTCCCTCTTTCCTATCTTTCCTTTCTATCTTTGAATATCATTTCCACGTGTCGCGTAGCGAACCAGCTTTCCTGGACTGGTTAACTTCTCTGTTTTTCACTCTCTACCGTTTCTTCAACTTACTTCTTTATAGTCCGACTTGTGTGTCACGCAGAAGCGCTGAATTGTGAAGTTCATTATTTCGATTTATGCTAAACTCGGAACAGTTTCAAGAAGAATTTGACCCCTTCCTGTGCATTTACATCTTTTCATTCGGTAGCTTATCAGGTAATAGCGAAACAACAACAACAACAACAACAACGACGACAACAACAACAAGGAACGCGTCGTTCGTGAATGCGTAGAGGCTGCGAAAACAATGAAGTGGTGCGTTAAACACAACAGAAAGTCCGCCGTCTGGCCGATAAACTACTTTTCATTCCATATCACGCTGACATCCAAAACGAAAGATACAATAATTTCGCTTGCTTATACACAGCTTTTCCTGTTCGCTTGATGCAACAGGCGAGAATGGTATAGGAACTGGCTGTTGCGTTTTTTCTCATGTCTAGCAAACTTTTATAATCCGAAAATAGGTAATCGAAGAGAAAAATGGAAGCGCTGTGTGAAATCGTTCGTATTGAATATTTAACCGTCTATGTCATTATCTTACTTTTTCCTTCTTGTGTGTTTGCAAATTGTAAAGGAATAGTTGAATCGTTTGTGTGCTCCACAAATAACTCTGCTTTACGTTGTGTAGCGCAAGTCGGGCAAATTGCTGCATTTATTTCGAGCTGCTCCCTTGTGCAAAGAAACGAAAAAACAAAAACAATTCAGAAGCTCGCACATCATTATGCAAATCGTATTGGCAGGCATTCCGTCTCTTTCTTTCTTTTTTTCTTTCTTTCGAGAATATTCGTCGCACGGCATCGTTCGCTATGCACTCCTTTTCAACTTTATCTTCCGCATGTAATTGAAGGCTTTCCGTCGTGCGCTTCCGGTTTGACTTTCATAAAGCGCCCGACCTAAGCCTCGATTCCCGCGGTTGCCCCACTGACTGGGAAAAAAAAAAAAAAAAAACGGAGCGTGCCCGCTTAAAGCGCTGCTTCTTGAAATTCCTCGCGTCATTCGAAGCCTGACATGGTCGGCGATGTGAGAGAAACCGCCGACTTCATTTCGCTCGCTGCACTCTCGCCAACTTCCTTCGGTGTATTGACTGCTTTTTTGCTCAGTGCAGGCTTATTAGAGAGCAAAGAGGAAAACGAGGGAGGAGGTATGGGTGGTGGCGGCTTGCGTGCGCGGTGGTGCGTGAACGACGTCGGGACCTTCTGACCTCGACCTCGGGCGGGCGAAATTCTCGAATTTTTGACGAATTTTTGTTTTTCCCACTGTATAGTTTTCTTTCAATGCTGCACAGCTTGACGCGCTTCACCTTTCTCGTTTATGTTATACCGCGTCGTCCATGCGTGACGCTGCGCACGTCACTTCGACGAGACTCTATGCGACGAGACTCTAGGCTCTTGACGTTTGAGCTGCCGGCGAACAATATTGATAAGGTTTACGGCGTTCGTTTTTCTTTACCTGATGACGCTTTAGAGTTCGTTAGCGACGGGGAACTTGATCTATGCGAAGCCATTTGTCATGGTGCCCCGCCGTGGTGGTCTAGTGGCTAAGGTACTCGGCTGCTGATCCGCAGGTCGCGGGATCGATTCCCGGCTGCGGCGGCTGCATTTCCGATGGAGGCGGAAATGTTGTAGGCCCGTGTACTCAGATTTGGGTGCACGTTAAAGAACTCCAGGTGGTCAAAATTTCCGGAGCCCTCCACTACGGCGTCTCTCATAATCAAAATGGTGGTTTTGGGACGTTAAACCCCACAAATCAATCAATCATTTGTCATGGTGCTTACGCTCTTGGACGAATGTTGGTGCGTTCGAGAACCACCTGGCTGTGATGCCTTAGGGCAGGCCAAGGCAGTGTTTTAGGGAAAGTTGGTAAGATATTTAAGCTTTTCTTGCGCGGAGGTTGTGAACGCGAGGTTAATTTGTGGGATTACAGCTTTGAATACACTTGTACTGAGCGACGCTTGTGAACTGCCTAGCTTTGTATGTGCCACGCTTTCTAAGCAGAAATATCGTACCAGTACCCGAGACATCAGTTATACAGCGAGCGCTATAAGCAGCATTTATTATATTTTTTTGCATCGATATGTCTATTGTGGTTTGTTCCTGTAGTTAGATTCCGGTTTAGTTGAGTTCTTTTGTTACAAGGCCGACGGAGGTCTACGGTGCTCTCTATGGTCATACGTACGAGCGTAAAAGACATTGCTTAGGTTCACTTATTCTATGGCGATTGCAATACCAAGGACTGCTACGCTGCATCTGCGTAGCTTCGTAACCAGTAGTTTTTTTTATTGATTTTAAATGAAAAGAAGAGAAAAGTTAGCCCCGTAACTGCATCCGAGTGCGACACCTCAACAGTAGGTCACGAGGGATGGGGGTAAAGGAGGGATCAAAAGGATAGGATTAAAAGGTAAAGAAGTAGAGAGAGGAAGGAGAGAGCGAGGTGCAGGGACAGCGAACGACAGAAAACGACGGAGGTAAAGAGGAGATAAGAAAAATTGACAAGGTCGCAGGAGTCCCTAAGACGGGGCACCACTCGGCGAGAGCTCTTGTCGGCGTTGGGAGATGGCGTAGGGCGAGCCCAGTCGGCCAGAGATGTGCTGTCGTTGGAGATCGCTGGGGCACAACCGGTCGGCACGAAATCCAGAGAGCGAATCGTAACCAGTAGTTAATTGAAGTGCACCTTCATACATTAAACGTTCACTCTTGTTAACGACGTTCGATGGTATGTCTGTGCAAAACATTGGGGTGTCAATCATTCGTTTGACCAGCAGGAGAAAACGTCCAACTGCTAGATCGGTATAGGTATAGGACGTGAAGACAGCTCGACGCATGTGAGCCGTTTACATGAATGTATGGCTGATATTCCAAACGCTCCTTAAGCACTGTTTCCTTTCGCAAGCAAGCACGGCGATATATTTCTGCTGACGGAACGGTTTTCACAAGTTGTAGTTTTGATAGTTTTCTTCGTTAAGCTGTCTGCCGCTCTTTTTTATTTTTTTCGTTTTAGTTCTACAATCTCTATATAATAAATAACACTGTTGCCCCGCCTTGGTGGTCTAGTATTTATGGCGCTCGACTTCTATACCGAAGGTCGCGGGATCGAATCCCGGCGGCGGCGGCGGCTACAATTTCGATGGAGGCGGAACCGTTTGAAGCCCGCCTGCTTAGATTTAGGCGCACGTTAAAGAACTTCAGGTGGTCGAAATTTTCGGAGTCCTTCTTTACGGCGTCTCTCATAATCATATTGTGGTTTTGGGACTTTAAACGACAGATATCATTATATTATAACGATGAAATGGATTTATTTACAAGGTGAAAAGTCAGAAATGCGTAGCGCAGCGCAAGGTACAAGACGATCAGCCCCACAACAGCTCGCTGCTCGCGTGCGCTTTTTTCCGCCTCTTCTTCGCTTCGGCGGGCTCCTGTCGCGTGACAATATAAATAAGTAGATAACGCTGCTCTAACTGTGTCGCTATATGCAATCGATTCGCGTTCGAGACGGTGACACGCGGCAGTGCAGTATGCACTCACCGGCCTTGTGCGTCCTGACGGTGATGATCTCGCTGGGGTCGCCCGTGCCGTACTCGTTGGTGGCGCTGACGTACAGCTGGTAGAGGACGCCGGACTCGAGGCCCGACACGGTGTACGAGGACGAGCGCGAGTCGAGGTTCACCTCTTTCCAATCCTGGGTGCTCTCTTCGGGCCGGTGGTGGAGCACGTAACCTGCAAAGAGGCGCGTGCTTTGTATACGTCGACGTAGATTATCGCATTCTCTGTGCTGCACGCAACTAAGAGGGAGTTTTCGCGCTTGTATCAGTATATGTTTTCAACACCCAAGTGTGCTCCTTAGGAAAGAACGCCGTTTGCTGTTTTTTGGAAAATTTGAAGCCGGAATATCTACTCAGGTGGAAGGTTGTGGAAGACATAGATTTGCACACTTAGTTGGGAATGTACGTAGAGATACGCGGTCATGGTTAGATGAAACTGATTATATCGAAATTGGGGAGAAAACGATAATGACATTTGTGCTGCATACCTTAACCCGTCGGCTCTTCACGCTTGTACATTCATGCTATACCCCTTGCGACCCCACGGACATTGCGCGTGTGTAGTCACATAATAGAGCTCGTGTGTAGCTTGCGTGTAGCCATATAATGCGCGTTCATCGTACTACGTTATCACCAAACAAATGACGCCCTAGTCACGCACTGCCGGGATTTACAACACCTGTTTCTATTGGAATCTTCCCTCATAAGAAGTAGTGAGTCTATTTGTCGCGCGCGGTACACACCCTCCGCAATTTAGTCCTCCAACAAGCTCCCGAAAATGTTGTCGTTTTCGTGATGGATTGATGAAATGAACTGGCGCGGCCTAATAACCTCGCGGTCAGGCTCGATACATGTTGCTGCGGCAGCTCTGAGATTGTTGTGGTACGCATGTATTAATAGGAAATGGCCCGGCAAGCCCATCTGAAGCGTGTGCGTACAATCCACGCGCTCGTATTTGCGTTCCCTAGCATTCGCCAAACAGAGTTCGTTTACCTCTCACACCGCTGGCGAACTGCTGGTGCCAGGTGACAGTGATGGACGAATGCGTCGTGCCAGAGACGAACACCTTCGGTGGCGGTGGCACATCTGAGTAGAAAGACGAATGTAAAGAAGAGTCTGTGCGAAGAAAAGAAAGGAGTAAAAGTGGATTGGATATGAATATATTCGTGACTGATCACTGGCTGTGACTCACCACCCGCAACGGAATGGTGGATACATAGTGATTGTGACTAATCCAACGCTTTCCATTGCGATCGTATTGCGTCGGTAAGAGAGAGAGAGAGATAAAGATACAAGGAAAGGCAGGGAGGTTAACCAGACGCGTCGGTAAACTTTCTATCAATGTCTAGCTCTCGTACAGTTTACATTTCTCTTTCTCGCGTAATGGTTGCTTTGGGATCGTTAAGATTGACGAGCGTAGTTACTACAACCGAGCTCAAATATCTGCTTTGGATAGCTTGCGCCTTCTGCCCCAAACCAGATGTTGGAGGGCGACATGTTAAATGGTCTGTTTCAACCCGAACGTCAGATCGTTGTAACGGAAGATGTTTCGTTAACGTTCGCATGACTGGTTCTCAAATGCGATGTTCTCCAACAATACTAGTGGCGAAACGGTGTTGCCTGTAATAATATTTTACAGAAAATTAATTGAACTTAGTTTAACTGAAAAAAAAATGTTAGCAATGTTAGTCATCATTTCTCGCCATTTCAGCCAACACAAGCGATCAATAAACGCCACTAGCCGACACTTGCCTAAAGAGATTGGACATCACTAGCCGAAATTGGTAATCGAGCCATATTTCTTCAACGTTTTCAGAATTAGTATTTAGTGAAAACTAGTCAGCTATAACGAGAGCTCCTAGTAATCGAGCAAATATGGTGGTTTGATTTAGACCGAAGTATCCGTCGTACTGCAGTGCTGAATGTGAGTGGAACAGGGTTCGAAGGGATGCTAAATAAAAAGAAGACGTCAAGTTGATGATCGGTTCCAAGTAAGCTTGGAATCGAGTGGATTGAGTCCGCTACGGCATGTGTCGTGGAATCTAAGCGCAAGTACTGAAATCACGCGCTTAGTACCTCCATCCAGTGTCTTGACGTGTAGCTCGTGCGAGGCGACCCCGGAGCCGGCTGCGTTGTAGGCCTTCACGATGATCGCGTACTCCGTTCCGCGTTGAAGGCCCGTGAGGAAGAACTCGTGGCTGGCGTTGGGTCGGAACTCGCTGGTGCGGTACGAGTAAGGCTGGCCCGATGACGTTGGCTTGTAACCGATGTAGTAGCCCAGCAGGTCTCCGTTCCACTCGTCTGGCGGTGGAGGCTGCGTCGGAGACAAAGGAATCCGAGTTCGTCATGTTGCCGTTGTCAACGGATTCATTAATGCGAAAAACCTTAGATGTGTCATCAAACACGAAAAGTAAACGTTGGCGTTGGCAACGTCTTCGAGATTTCGCGAAAGCTAGCAAAACTTTGTGAGGCTGGTGCTGCATTCGAACTCGAGTATTGCGAAAAAAACAAAAATCTGATGAAAGTAGGTAAAAACTCACGTGACACCGAAGTTATTATGTGTGCAGTCGGTAAATTAAGTGTCGCATGAGCCCATTTCGTCATGTGACGTCAATAATGACGTAGCCCTGTGACGTCACCCGGTTAAGTAATGCTATTTTTTCATCTATCACAAATTCAGACCATCTGGCCGCGCCATCTTGCTGTAATATCAAGTTTTGTCTATTTGTGACATGACATCGTCATCGTGACGTCATTGTAACTTTGTGATGTCATTATGATGATCAGTACATCGACTAGGAAGGAAACGAAGGCAATGAATTTCGTTTCCGAGTGTTCTTAGGTGAATAGATAGGCGAATTGATAAAGGAACACGCACATTTTTTTAATATTTTTTACAATATGCGTTTTTCATTAGCAATAATGGCACACATTCTCTTTGACAATGCACAGGGTCTCTGAAGGAAAAAAAAACAGTTTAAATTGTTTTTTTTTTTCATAGCTGCATTTCTCATGACATGCAGTTGTGATTTAGCCGTAACATTCACAGGTTCGCACTTGCCATCTTAGTGGGAGTTTGAGCGCCCTTGATTGTTTGCCCTCCCAAAGCTCACTGAAAGTGCTACCGGCGATGTGTGAGCATCATGTATTAATAAAGATGTGTGAGCTTATCGATGGTGTGTGTGATCTTATCGATTGTGTGTGTGGGTCTTCGTAAGCTTCTGCCCGATTGACCGCGTCGGAAAAAAACGTCAGGTATTGAGAAAATTGTCCTTGGTCATTTGGATTCACTCATTTTTCTGAGAAAGGGTTTAAACGATTATTGACATCTTGGCTGTGCCCAGTTACGATGGAAGACAGCCGCTACCACATTGTGGTTTGCGCTAACGCGAGTAAGTGATCGCTTTGGGAAATGCTTAGCCCTAGTCGTCGTTTGCAAAAAAAGAGATAATAATAAAGGCGACTTCTGAAAAAAAAAGTCGTGAGAAAGAGAGAGAGAGAAGTACTGACCCAAGCGGACGCTATTTCATTGATTTCTCATCAGCACCGTTGTTATTTTCCTGCCGAACGCAAAGCTTCATTTTCGCCGAAGGAAAAGAAAAAGTAAACTGAAGCTTATTGAAAAAAAAAATGAAAAGAAAGAGAACTTTTGAAAAGCGAAACGTAATCTATGTCACGCTTATTTTCTAATTATTATTACTACTCTTTTTTTTTTCGCGAGAGCTAGTGAAACATAATTCTTTTATGTTCGCTGTAAGGTTATGTATGTTGTTTAGATTGTACATTGCTTGAACTTTCGATATTACTAGGTTAACGAGTAAGCGGTAAGAAGTGCCGCATTTGACCCCATTAATATATATATATATATATATATATATATATATATATATATATATATATATATATATATATATATATATATATATCAGAAATGTTGAGAGCAGAGCCAGTTGGTGACTGATCATTGTACCGCAAGGTTAAGTAGCACAGTTTTTAACATGGACAACAGGGATAAAAAGGACACGACACTCGCTACACTCGCAACTAAATTTATTTCAGAAAAATACTTCATATATATGCAGCCCCGCTGACCCCGAGTAACACAGAAATTAAATAACAGGCACTGAAATAACCGGCACCTTTTTGTTCCTGTTGTCCACGTTAAAAAAAAAATCAGAGCATATCCACGAGGTGAATGATGACGAGTGGGGCGAAGCGGACGGACTGACGGACGCTTCGCCCACTCTTCATTTACTCCGTGGATGTGCTGTGACACCGTTTTTATTGGCATGTAATGCAATGCAACTGGCTACTACGACGGCTACGGCGACACGGGACACGTGACCCACGAAGTAAGGAGCTTCGCCCCTAAATGTACCCTATTTAATCTTATGGTATACTGATTTTCATTGCACTTTACTTCTCTGTGTACCTGCTTCTATCCGATGAACTTAAGGCGATTTCCGGACATCGAAATGCTGTTCCGTTCAGTGCCCATCATATGGCGATGCGATCGAAGGCATCGAAAAAAAAAATGATTTTTTAATAAATGCTGAATGTGTCCAATTTTGCGCCGTTTGCCTGTAAACGTGTATCCTTGACACTATACCGTCGGAATGACTTGTACGTTCTCGCGTGAGAATGTCATTCGAAAGGAAAACAGGCGAAGAGAGCGTGATTCACTTACCTTCCAGGAAACGCGCACTGTGCTTGGCCCTCTGGCTTCAACGTGGAAGTCAGTCGGCGCTGCGCTTGGCTCTGCAACGTTCGTCCAGAAAAGGTAATAAAAGTCAGGAATAAAAGTACTAAGGCAAAAAGGAAGGTCAAGCTTCATATTTCAGGGCGCACCTTATGGTTGCTTCTCACAGTACGGACGTATTGTCCCGCTTAAAGGGACCTGAAACGATATTGCCAATTTTTTACAAACATATAGGGCCGGTAGACCAAGGGTAATTCAGAGACCGATTTGAGCTCTCTGCGCAAAATGTGTAAATTATTACAACGCTCTCCAGATCGCCGCAGGTCGCTGCGACTCAGCCAACCGCGTTTTCAACCGCCTATACGCCAAGCGACACGCTCTGCCCTGCTGACGTCATCGTTTCCAGCTGTTCTGATTGGCTGTGGAACGCGCAGCACAGACTGTCGGTATCGGATCGGCGGCGGGATTTACGGTCTCACGGCACATCGTGACGCAGGCGCCGTGAAGACGGAGCTTAGCCCCGAGCACTCGAAGTAAGAGTTGGGGACAGTTGAGGGTGAAAGGCGGAGCGGAGGAGGAGGGTACTTTTTTTTTAGTACTCGTAGCTCCGTTAATAATCGCTGTTTCAATTGAACTCTGGTGCCAATTATTTGCTGCAGTAGTGGTCTAATAAAAAAACGGAATGTGAAACAACCGTTTAAGGGAGGCTTTAAGGTTATTTTCACTTAACCGTAATGCGACGTAAGCCCCGCCGCGGTGGTCTAGTGGCTAAGGTACTCGGCTGCTGACCCGCAGGGCGCGGGTTCGAATCCCGGCTGCGGCGGCTGCATTTCCGATGGAGGCGGAAATGTTGTAGGCCCGTGTGCTCAGATTTGGGCGCACGTTAAAGAACCCCAGGTGGTCTAAATTTCCGGAGCCCTCCACTACGGCGTCTCTCATAATCATATAGTGGTTTTGGGACGTTAAACCCCACATATCAATCAATCGTAATGCGACGTAAAGCATTGTGCGAAGTATACATATGATATCACTGCAGGTTTTCGAACACTTGACTGTTGCGTTGCAATTAATGAAATAGAGCAAAGTATCCCCACAATCGTTTAATCTGTAAATGTAGAGTGTAATCGTATTCAACGAAATATCCACCAACGCGACTGAGAGACGTGAAGCTAGTTAGTTCATATCGCAGGCGTGGTGACTTCGACCTCTAGAATGTGAATTCGGAGGATCTTGCCGATCGTGCCAGTACTTGCGTTCGACAATCATCAAGTACTATCGCTACTCTGTCCACGAGATATTTCAGAAATACGTGCTTTCGGAAAAAAAATAGTGACCAGCGGATGCATCTACTTTAGTTTAAAAGTGCATGCGTTTGTCTCTTCTATTTGATGCAGGATAGATGTGATGACAAAGAACGGGTGTTGTAGATCTCTTTAGCACAGTGCATGCCACCTCTAAGTGCTATACAGCGCTGACCTTCTTCGCCCGTGTGCAACTTGACAGGCGTTGAGGCGAGACCGACGCCGACGGAGTTTTCTGCAAGGATGCTGAGATGATAGGTGGAACCGGGGTGCAGGTCGCCCACCAGGGCCGACGTCTGCGATCCAGGAACGGCCACTTCTTGAAGCCTGTGTGCTGTACCTGCGGTCGTAGGAACAGTGAGACACGGTTATAATGTCGATATCTGTATGAAAGCTACCTTAGTTTTTATAGTGATCGCTGCAAAAAAGAAGACAGATTCTCTGACAAGGCATTCAAGAACTTTCGAAAATGGTCGTTTAGCCTCTGGAACAGCATCTTCGTGCTCAACGTGACGGTGAGAAAGGAGAGAGAAATAAATAAAAAGAAGAGACAGCGAAGTTAACCTAGAAGAACTGGTTTTGCTACCTTGTACAGGGGTGGGGAAATATGGGGCGGAAAGAGGACAGAGACAAAGAGATATAAAATAAATTGTAAAAAAAATTCACATGCACACACATGCAAGGCGTTCCGATCACAGTCGTTTCGACAGGCCGGTTGAATGCAAGAAGCGCAGGAGCGCCTTCACAGACTTCTTTTGCGACATAAAGTCCTGTCGGTAGCGCAGGATTCTTTCTTCCGAAAGAGTCTGGTGGTACAGTTCGTCTAGTGCATTGCAGAGTGACCGTCTCTGCGAGCTGTATTGTGGGCATTCACACAGAATGTGCCAAGTTGTTTCGTCACTGCCGCAATGGTCGCATGCAGTGAGAAAACGGGCGCATGCGATGTAGCATGTGACTATATATACGCTTATTCGATTGATCGATACTTCAGCTCTTTCCGACCCGAGTTCAATAGTGTCCCTTGCCTCGAGTGCAGCTAAAATATTGAGCACCCTTTATACGCGATCATAAGTCCTAACAGAAGTTTACGGGCGTCGCGTAGACACTTTGTGATCGAGGCGTCCCCGTGTGGACCGAAGCGTCGACACATGTATTTTACCTGTCACCTGAACATTTCTTGGAGTCATATGCAAGCTTCGCCAGTGCGCCTACGCAATACGTAGTGCACCGTCCGAAGTGCATGGTGCTCCTCTTAAATGTCAAGCACCTTGGTGACGACAAGGTTGTCAGAATGCTTAACGCCTTGACTTTATCCATATCACTATAGTACGCTCGCGCTTGCAATTTTTCTCTTTCCTTCCTACTGCTTTCTATGGTTACATTCCAGTTCGTTTTATTGTTTTTGTGCCTAAGTATTGCTTAATTATTCTCGTTCGATCATGTATTGATTGGTAGTTCATGTGTTCAGAAGCGCGAGCTTGTTTTGGTGTTCTCGTTCTTTTAGGGGCGAAGCTTCTTACGCCGTGGGTCGTATGTCCCGCGTCGTCGTAGTCGTCGTATTAGCCAGTTGCATTGCATTGCATACCAATAAAAATGGTGTCGCAGCATATCCACGGATGATGAGTGGAGCGAAGCGTCCGCGCGTCCGTCCGTCCGTCCGTGCGCCTGGTCGTCCGGCTATCAGCCCGTCCATCCGTCCGTCCATCCACTTAGCCCCGCTCGTCATCGTTCACCTCAGGGTATGCTGTGATTTTTAAAGTTAAATCCATGCGCCGCTTGGCTCTGTGCAAATATTTTTTTGTCATTTAGCGCCTATTTGCGACGAATGTCTCATTCGCCGTTGCGTTGTGCGAAGATAAGCAGCGTAGTTTAACTCGCGGGCAGCCTCCGCACAGAGACATTGGAGCGATGACATAATATGTGGACGCGAGCTTCTCCCAAGTTCTGTGAAAAGAGATGGATAATCCAACTATTTCGTTATAGCCACGGCTTCTGTTTTTGTTCTTCGGAATTCCAGGCAGGACAAGAGGCTTTGCACGCAATGACAAAGTTGAGGGCATTCGTCCGTGTCTTTTTGTACCGTCTATATGTTTCATAACAACGTCTTTTTCGTTTTCTGCTCTCTATTTTTCTCGGTGTAACTTTTGGAAATCACTTGGAGTTTCTAGAAGACATCTTAAGAGTGTAATCAGACTAGAAAGAAAACATTTTATAAACACAGAGGCAGAGAGGTCAGACAAAGCTACAGCATATTAGGGTTTTCTGTATGTGCTTAAAGGAAGAAGAGAAGGGGTGGAGGCTTGATGGGGAATGGAGTCTGAAATAGTTGTAGAATACAATGATAAAGGTGGTAGAATTTCAAGAAAGGATAGAATCGTGTAGAGAAATCAAATTCTTGAACGAGTGGTGTCGCTGGAGCCTTGAAAATAGACGCGACCAGTCGTCGGAACCTTCGCTCGAGCGATACCTCGTGTTTTCATTTTCAGATCTCTACAACGAGAAAAAAAAACCATAAGCGAGTAGATGCACCCGAAATATCAACTAGACACAAGTTCTGGGAAGCACGGAGGTCTGAAAAAGCGAAAAAAAATTCTTGAGTAGGAGGTTTCGCTGCTGCTCCGGCAACACCCCCTCAATTAAAGTTATTTTTTTTCGCCTCTAGATGCAGAGAAAGAATACAGTACTCGCGGAATGAAGCAGATCGATTTAGGATAGAGTGACGCACATACTTTCGTGTTCGCCGTCTTCAGTTCGGGTCATATCGGTGTAATTTGGACTCGAACGCGTAGATAAGAGCCGTCATTATCCTTAGAGACCAGATTCGTCGCGACATGACGTGGCTATCTCGAGCAATGGCGCGTAGACTAGTCATTCTACGAAAAAAAAAAGAAAGATGTTGCGTATTAATTTCTGTCGAAGCTCACCAGAGTCCTTCCAGTATTGTATGACGTATTTGGCAACCGGGCTGTTGCCGCTGTATGGAGGAGACCAGCTGACGCTCGCCGAGCGGCTCCACGTTTCGGAGACCTTGACATCCTGTGGCTGTCCGGGAACCTCTGCGGTAGGAGTAGTAGGGAATGTTGAAAAGCAGTGAAGATGGTACCTGCACGTTCGTGCGAGTGGCGTGTCCTCGCCGAATTTGAAACACGCACTCAACTCTTTGGGCAACATTGCCGAAACCTCGAACGACCTCTGTGTAATATCTCCCAATGGATTACAGCGCGCATGAAATAAGGAGACTAAAATAACTCCGAGGTTACGCCAACGCGTCGACAATGGACCTAGTTGCACGTGGTTTACGGGAACAGCGAAATGATATATCTTACCTTACAAATAGCCCTTGTTCAAGTCTATTGGGAAGCCTTTTTTTTTTGGGGGGGGGGGGGGCTATGTTTTGACTATAGCGATGGTCTATACCTTTGCCTCAACGGAAGACAAGGCTATAGGTCCTAAAAAGCTTCGCCCTTTCACAAAAAAAAACAAAACAAACAAAAATAAAGACAAAAGCGGCAGTAGTCATACCGACAACCAGCAACTTGCTGGTGCGTTCGTCGTGGCCGAACTCGTTCTCGGCGCGGCAGGTGTAGACTGCGCCGTCGCTACGCTCCGTGCTAGAGATGAACAGCTCCGAGCGCAGGCCGCTGTCTGTCATGGTCTCGAATATTTCCAGCCTGAAAAACACACAACGATAACCGACGTTTCAATGATGCAGGAAGTCATTCCGTGCAGATTAACTCCACAGCATCAGCCTCCCACACATATACACTTTATACCCATTTTCTACCCGACTCACTCACACACGCACACAAACCGATATGCGAGGCTCATTCTTCTCTTGTATTTATTTCTGTTTTTTAGCGTATGTCTGCCTTTTATGTTGATATACTTTCGTGCCTGTTTTGAAACACCCCGTTGACTTCTCATAGTTCCAATAAAAAAAGAGACAAAACATGCAGTAACGGTACGAAAATATCAGCTGCTTGATCAGATGGTTAAGATGAACGCATCCAATTAACCTAGACTTTCACAACTCAAACAATAATATGTGGCATCCGGAAGTACACAACCCTTGATGTATGCACTGTGATAGCTCAGCAGACTTAGTCGAAATGAATGGGACCTTTTCTAGCATTGAGGAGCCAGATAGGAGTAAAAAAAATCCTGGGAGTCTTTGCTAGTGAACGAAGAAGACGCTACACGACAGTTCACAGGTCTCGCCCGGACTCCGACCGCTTCCTAAAGGATTCCGCTAATGCTGATGAAAGTTGATCGAGGGTCCAGGTCTGCATGAATTGGACGGATGCAAACAGTCACTTTTACCTTTGTAACCTAACCTAACCTTATAAGATCAACCGAAACATAACTTTATAAGATCAACCGAAACGAAAACACAATATAACCTGACAAACCCTTGAAGGGACACAAAGACAACTTTAGTCGACGTTGATGGTTGAAATAGTGGTCCAGAAACCTTGTAGTGTTAGTTTTGTGCCAAGGAATTAAGGGCCTATTTTGAAATAAAATCACGTTTTAGTGTTCCGCATCGGGTTAGCGAACTTCAAGTTACCCGCCTCAAGCAGAACGTCTCACGTCACTGTTGCCGTGCAGAACATTGACCGACATTGCTGCGCGGCCTCCGACACTAGTAGCAGCAGAGCGAAAGCAGCGGGAGCTATAGCAGCAACAACGACCATTAACCAATTTCCTGCCATTGACTCCGAGATGGCAGACGTGCTTGGTTCAACTAAACTCTGATAGATGGCACGACCTGTCCAGTTTAACCAGGTGGAAATTGAACTTTTAAACCACTTGCACCATTCCCCTTAGTAACGCCCCGCGGTTCTTTTTTCTCGTGAATCAAACAGAAACGAACAAGCAGCATTTTATTACGTCTCTTGATGCACGGAAGGTTCTTTAGTGCAGCTAGGTATATTATTAGTGATTAATTGTAGGATGTAACTCTGACGTCATAGGGATCATTTTGCGAATGTCCTACTGTGGTGCATGTGTTCTCGTGCGTTCACCTTAATTTCTCGGTAAGTAGGGCACTGTTGTTGATAATATTGTTGTTTTGGACGTTGTCATCTTTCCCACTCCCCCCTCCTCTTAGTGCCGTGTAGCAAACTGGATGCTACAATTCTGGTTGACCTCCTTGCCTTTCTCTCAGTTTATTATCTCTCTCTATCTCTCACTTTTGGACGTTATCATGCATTGGGCTTTCGCTCTCACATAAATTGTTATTTGTTCGACTTTAGAGTCCCTTTAAGCATAACCTAACTGTTGATTTTATCAAACAATGCCGTCCCTTTACTGTCGGTGCATTTATCGACAACTACGACACGTGAGTCCCCATCTGGTCTCCCGGCTGCAAACCGCTTCGCTCAAATTTTTTCTCATGACGGGACTCGCGCTCAAGTCTCGAGAGACGCAACTGCAGCCCCAAAAGCAATCCGGTGCCTACCGACCCGTAGCCCGCAGACTGCAAGAGAGGCGGCGGTGGAGGAGGAGGATCAGACGGCGCTTTGCCGTTCTACGTCGTTGGCTTTTCTCGAATTGGTTCGGCCTCCGTCTCACTTTACACTCGCAAGGGGCTGCCACGCATGTCAAGACGGCGAAAGAAGCGAAAGGGGTTGAAGAGCGCGTCCTTCGCCTTCTGTCATCCCCGCTCTGGCGACGCGCCAACAGCGAGACCATGCGGTATACACGCATATGGTTTTGCCGGTGGTTCCAGATGATGGGCGCTTTTCACTACCGGCTTCACATCGCTTCTTGTATTGTCTTTCTCAAAGTGGGCGTGCAAATTTTTCGTCAAGTATAGAAGCACGTTTCAGAAAGAGGAAACGGGCCTTGTTTCTTAGAACGGTAGGTGCGCCTTCTGGAGCTGCGCCTGTGTACAGCCTAGTATATAACAATAGTAAACAAATAAATTTATTAAAAACAAGGAATACTTGTCACTCTTCGTGAGAAGCCTTGAATTCTCAAATATATAACTATATTGAAAGATATACGTTAATTCTATCTTGGAGATTCGTGCCTTCCACGGCAACCTGAAGAGAGCAGAATGACCTCCGAAAAAAAAAAGATAACGCGCATCTTTAAAGTCAGAACTCGCCAAAAAGACTAAGAAGTTATTTAAAGAGAAGGCCTTAGATCATGAGTGACGTAAAAACACGAGTTACGCAAAAGGATGGTCACCTGATGGAGTAATAATATCACGTGACCACGACGTCGCAAATAAGTTCTCTGCTCAAAAATACTGTACGAATGAAAAATAAATGAAATTGAGTTGAAATCGAACTGAATTGAACATGTGACATCGTTATGACGTCGTTATGACCTCAGATGACGTGGCGTCACATGACGGTGTCATCACACGACATCGTCGCATCGTAAAAGGTGGCCCGATCACGGAGGACAGTGCTAAACCAAGTGAGGTGGAGGAAACTTGCAATGCCTCGGATTCTGGAGGCTATGCAAAAGTACGTTAAGCGCCGAAAGCATTGGAAAGAGGGCGGGGTAGGATGAATACATAGACTTAGACTACAAAGATGGCTCTGGCGTTCGAGTCGTCTTAGGTGAATGCGTAAGGAGCCCTGGGAATTTTGTTTTCCTTACAGTACGCGTTTTCACTTCATTTGCAGTCGCTATATGCACTGTTTCTTGACAGCTGTCCTGTAGAGCTGTCCTGAATGCTTTTACTGTTGTGTGATTAGAACAGTTAAGATCGTTTATTGTAATGCTGTTTTTACATCTCGGCTGGATTGCACTATCGTTCTGGAAACAATAGCTACACCGCTTGCTTGTTATCGTGGCATGTATTGCTGTTTATTTCTACTACAAGCTCCGGGCAGTGGTTCCAGCCAAACTTTAGAAAGCAGCATCGATAAACCGTACCTCAGCGAAGCTTGGAAATAATTTTTCTTTTATCAGAAGTAGCAGAAAAAGGCCGCCTAAAGGCTGCCGAATGCGTAAGCTTGTTGTTGAAACTCGTGCCCCGGCAAAATTGAAGGATATCACTGACGCTATTGCGCTCCCGCCATTTTGATTATATACTTGTTAATGCTTCAAATGAGTATCTTGAACTGTTCAGTGAGGTGGGCATGGAGTGAAAGATTGAATTAAATATCCGCCGACCCCACACAAGGTAAGCGACTCTTTCTAACACGCTCGAGGCTGTTGTACGAAAAAAAGCTGGCTTTTTACATGGCGAGGAGACAGTTGGCGTATAGTGGAGCCACAAGTGGTAACACCACCATAAAAAAATATCAGTCTATGCATATCATCATAACAAAATACAGTGTACATGAGACACAAATTCAGGGAACGATTGATGAAGGCTTTAAAAGATTACACAGTTATACGCCGTGGAGAACGTCCCCTTGACGAATAAATATATCCTCTTGTACAAACGATGGCAGCAACTGCATTCTATGTTCTACAACTCATTGTTATACAAAATCACACTACAGACCACACACTATCACGTATGTAAGACATTTCGGCTATGAAAAGCCGCAATACCTTTACGTTTTTGCTCTTGAACGACCCCGCATTGCCCTTGAGCGTTGCAGCAAAGGTGGGGAAATGTGGAAACACAAATAGAAACGATACCTTATTTTGGCCACATACATTTCCCTTCAGACATTTTGTATCACCAGCTAGACATTTCAGAAAAAACTGCATAAAATCCACGTGATGGATCGGTATTCGCGAATTTTGGAGTGTACGGTCATTACGTTTGAAAATAGATGTTTTTTTTATTAGCTAAGGCTTTTCCAAGCTGAAACTAGAGATGCCGCCTAATAATTCTGCCTCCCTTTTTTCTTTCCTCCGTAGAGTTTAAGAATTCACTCATCATATCTGTTTATCTACGACCAAGCTCCGGCGTTGTCGTCGTGTAAAAAAAAAGAATCGCGGGATGATTCAACACTCCGGCGTCTCTGGGCTCGGCGCGATCACGCCCGTGCGTTCAGGTGTCAGTCACCTCGAGTAGTTGTTGATGGTGTCGCGAACGTTCCGAGCCGCTTGTGCTGGGCGTTCAACAGAAAACACGCCTCGATGCGCGCCTTTGAAAGAAAGGTCGCCGCGAAGAACGCGGATTAATGCCTCGACGACGCCCGTGGGAGAACCTCCATTCGTGAATGGTGGCTTCAGAATGTTGCAGCATGGTGTTCCGCATTGACCCACGGAGTAGATGCAAGTCTTTTTCTTTCTGTGGCATGATATTGCGGCTGAGACTCCCAAGTGTGTCGCCCTCTTAATCTGTGTTATGAAGCTCACACAAAGTCTTTGCTACACATTCGAATCGCCGAAAAAAAAAACAGCTTAGCTTGGAGAAGAGGAGTTAAGCATAACGCGAAGATTGGTTTGCAACTACGCGAACTTCGCGGTACTTGAGATGTTTGCGAGTGTCCTTTGACCTCCAGTCAAATAACGATTAGTTACCGCTCGTGATGATGATGACGCCTACGACAATGAACGCCTTGAAAGGCTTCGTCGCTCACTTGTTTTCATTCGCAAGACGTGAGATTGCTCATATAATTTGTTTTGCAACACTTTGTTTTCATATTGACGTTGCAGACACTTAATAACGTTGACACAACTGTATATTATGTTCAACAAACTCGTGCCTTTGGTGAGCTTTGCTACCTGCTTGTTTCTGGAAGCTACT